TCAGCTCCGTCAGCTCTATCAGCTCCATCAGCTCTATCAGCTCTGTCAGCTCCATCAGCTCTATCAGCTCCGTCAGCTCTGTCAGCTCTGTCAGCTCTGTCAGCTCCATCAGCTCCGTCAGCTCTGTCAGCTCTGCAGGCAGCAGCAGCAGTAGCTCGGGGTTAATGATCATGTCTGGGAAGTGTTTACGTTCAGGGCATTTGTTCAATTCCAACAGGCAGCATGGAAGCCGTCCGCAGAGAGAGGTCCTCCAGGGGTTTATCTCTGTCTGACTGGCGGCCAGAGCCTGTGGTCGCCTCTGGCTCAGGTCTAAGCGTTGAGTCATCGGACGTCGTTGAGCACAAAGACTCTTTTCTCTGAGTCTCTGTTCGTCTCATTGTTTCTTCGTGACGCTCGCTCCCTCAGAATTCCTTCGCCAACTTTCGTCTCTTGCACACAACGGAGCCTCAGCCAAACATTTGGAGAACATTATTCCTGCTTTTACGTTTTCAGGTAATGACCTGTGTGGAATGCATTGTCCTCAGTGTTAATGTAATAGTCTCATGTAAAGTCTTATTCCTGATGAATCTTATGATCATTAAAGTTCTGCTCCTTCAGACCAGTCTACAACTAAAGTTAACCGCTGCCTCGTTATCTGAACACGTGGGAACCGTCGTCCTAACATCACATCAGGTGGATTTGTTGAAGGATTTAAAAGAACAAAACCAGCGACACCCAGTGGCCGGAGGTATTCGGTTTTCAGGTTGTCCGTCCGTCTGTCCCGTTCATGTGAATATGATATCTCAAAAACATCTTCAGGAAATACCTTCAAATCGGTGCAAACATTTAGTTCTGTCGTTTTTAGAATCAAAGATAAACTTATTACATTTTGGTGGTCGTCTTGATTTAGGCTCATGGATTTAACCGATGAGATTTCCGAGGTCAAAGGTCACAATGGTGGATTGGATAACTTTGTGAGGTAGGAGATGATATAATCTCAAATCTAAAACATGATTCAATCAAAACTTCTGTGACTGTATTAAAAACTGATCATAAAATTGGCTTTATAACAGTTGACGTTCCTAATTAAGTGCCCACTGAGAGTATAGTGACAAAAGTGTGTGTGTGTGTGTGTGTGTGTGTGTAGGACAAAGCCTCCTCAGTATAACTCCCTGTAGCTCAGTAACTTCCCCCCTTTCCTGTCTCCCTCACCGTCCACTCACCAAACGACAATCTGCTGTTGGACACACACACACACACACACACACACACACACAGACCAACAGACATTCTATAATTATCCACAAAGAGCATCATTGAGCTCAGGCCTGATGTTTTCTCGTTAAACGTTTCATTGACTGGAGGCGAGGGCTGCTTCAGTTCACACAGTGTTTCTGAGCTCGGTTGTTAAATATAGAAAAGAAAATCTTATTTCCTCCAATTAACTCTTCAAACAAATAAAAACCACGTCTGGACTCGTGCCACCTCCTGGAGAACAGCTGAGATATGCTTCATTTATTTAACAATCACACATTATGGTGTGAGACAACTGCATGACACAGAATTCTTCCTTGTGTCTAATCTTGAAGAAATTGTGCGTCAACAGTAAAGCGGTGAGAGAACCAGCAGCCAGTTGGACGTCAGGGAGTCTCCTGAGGCCACATGTTGCAGCGTTAACCGACCACACCACTTGTTAAAAAGAAGTCATAGAGCTGCAGCGGTTGTTGACGTTGGCACGAAGGTGAGATTACTACAACGAAGGAAACAGTCGCTGTTTCTTATAAACGACTTTTCAAGATCCAGGCAGGAAAAATAAACTGCTACGATCCTCCAGTTTCACGAAACTAAAACTCATCTTTGTTTTTAATTTTTTAGCTGCTGCACAAAAATCAGAAGTTTAAAAATAAAGTTCGTGAAAATTAGTCAGGCTCTGGTGGAAGTCTGAAAAGTGAAGCCAAAGTGTCTCTATCGCCCCCCCTGCTGGCTGGCTGCAGAACGGGTCATAACCCCACCTCCTCCATGTTAGCAGATGGGACATGAACCAAACTAAAAACTCAAAGTAGACGTTAAATAAAAGTTGGAAATGGTTTGGAAACAATCAACGGCCAGTTTGTGCATCACTTGATCGTTAGATGTGGTTTTAAATTCTGTTCTAACTAACTAAACTAACTAACTAAAGCTCAGAGGACTAAATTCATCTCATTTAATAAAGACGGAAGTGAAGGATCCAGGAAGGAAAAAACAAAAGACCCGTGTTCAGCTGCTCTGATCTCGGTTGTTTGCGTTCACTCGACTTTAACAGCACATGTGGAGTTCCTGTTAGTGCTGCCCTCTAGGGAGCAGGACGTGTTAATGCATTCTCCACATGTCGGCTCAAAATCAGCCGACAAGAGTAACTGTCACCGACCCCGACATCACACTGAGGCCTCTGCAGAGCAGATACTGTTACAGACTGTTTCTGCTGCGACAGCTCCCCAACAATTCATCTGTTATCATGTGATCTTTTCTTTTGTTGTATTATTTGATTTTGTCTTTTGTACCATATCACTTGGTTTGATTCTGAATAGAAATGTTTAAACGATTCTTAATTTAGTTTTCTTGTTTTTATTTGTCCTCCTTGTGAAGCACTTTGACATGTTATTATTCCTATATCATTAATTATTGCTCATCATTTTGTTTGTCCATCAACTCATCTGTTAGTATTTCAGAGTTTGTGCTTCGATATTTGTCCATTTTAGCTTGAATTAAAATCCTGGTCATGTATGATCACCTCCCACATGTGACTGATGACACAGAAACCAGCGCTCAGCAGACTAAGGTCATTAGGATCATTAGGAAAGCAATAAATAAATAGAAAGTAAAAAAACCTCTGTTGTAAACTATATTTGCACTTAAGCTCATTTTAGAAGTCTTGATTTGTTTCCTCTGTTTTTCTGTCTTTCTCATTATGAAATGATAAATTTAGATGTTTGCTCTTCGCTGGCTGAGACATATTTCAATCAGTGGTTTTCTAACTCTGCCTCTCTCCCTCTCTTCATGAATGTTTCTTCCTCTGGCGTCCTGACATCAGCTCAGACCAAACCAAGCTCTCACAGAACGTCTCAAGTCCGATTTGGCTGAAGTTTGCTGAGAAGAGCAGCAGCAGCAGCAGCAGCGTCAGGTATGTGTCACTGTTATTTGTTGTTTTTCTCCCTGGTGACTGATAGAGAACACAGACTTCTCTGAGTGCTGTTTGTTTTCATCAGGTTATAATGTGTTTAACAGCCTGTGTCTCTGAATCGGAACCACAGAAGAACCACAGCACACAACTGAAGGTAAATATGACTCTTTCTTTCTTTCTTAGGGTGAAACCTTCTCAACCTTCGAATTAGAGGCTGAGTTACAGTTTGTCTAATTCTTTACCTATTTTATTAATAGTGTTGTTGTTTTTAAAATCTCATGAACCAACAGTGTCCTCTGCAGCCATTAAGTTAGTTCATTATATTGAGTCACAATCCATCTAGAAAACAAAGTCTATCAATCGATTGACATGTGTAGTCCCACCCACTGAACACTGGATATTACCCATGATCCCCAGCTTCGTGAACCAGAAGAAATGTTCTGAGCCTGCACATTTTAACCCGGCAGTCTAATAACCCTACATACATCACCTTTAATATATGAATTACTGTGTTAGAGGGTGTTTTATGGAATTATTATGTTTCTTAGTATCCTCCAGTAAAAATCTATCAAATCAAAGGTGACTTTTCCAATTCCTACATGTTTACACATCAATTATTAATTTTTGAAGTTATTTAAAGCTTTTTTTAATCCATTTATCCAACTGGCATGGTTCTGTGAATGGCTGCTGTCTTTAGGGGCAGTGAGATTTCCTTACAGCTCATGTATCATCTGTTTCTTAATAAGTAAGAACATTAAACGGTAAAGAGCAGTTATTCATTACAAGAAAACAATCAGACAAATCAGATAGCGTGATGAAAAACAAAATGTTTCAGAAACGTTAAAACGCTGTCAACACACATCTGCAGTGTTTGCTAAAGAGAAATGTGTGTGTGTGTGTGTGTGTGTGTGTGTGTGTGTGAGAAACCTGCAGCTCAGCAACAGGTGATTATCTCTTTATACACACAGACACACACACACAGACCTGTGGTCAGATAACAGATCCAGGATGTAGTGCAAACACACACACACAAAGCGTCTGTTACTGTAGACGGACTGTACGCTGCAGTGAAAACAAGGTGCAGGTGATGACGGACGTTTGACACGTTTTAAACTGAACTAACTTTCACAGTTGAGCTTGAGGTGAAGCTGAAGGTAACTGTGCATCACTGCAGCAGCAGCAGAACATGAGGAAGCTGCAGCACAGAAAACCAGAATGAGGAGAACAAACAGAACGATCTTGATTTCAGGTCAGTGGAAAGAAATGATCGTGATTATTATTTGTTGTTACTAATGGTTTGAATAAATGTGAATGAAGCTGGATGAATAATCTGGAATATCAACATGTGTCTGAGTCTGTATCGCGTCCAAACCCACGATGCTTCGTCTCCAGTTGGAGGGAATTGTTTGTTAATGACACTGAGGATGAGTTTACTCCGACAGTCGAACCATCACCAGGAGAATGTTTGATGTCAACAGACCATCAAGCTGCAACACGAATCGCTGCTCTAAGATCTGCTGCTGGACACTGAACACATTCTTTATTCTTCTTCCATCTTCACATCTGGACCTTGTGCCTTTGTGTGTCCACATCAGCCATGAGCTGTTGTGCGGCTCTTTCACGCACAAACGGGCCTCAATGTAAATGAACGCTGACGTTATCTTCAACACTGTTGTGAAAGCAGAGTGACCATGAGGAACGCCCCCCCCTCCTGAAGTCAGCACAGGCCGCCATGGACGAGTCGGACGTAGACAGGAAAGGTGAGCAGACGATTTCAACACGCTGTCCACAAAGTTCAACTGTGCACATTTCAGTGTGTGGGGGGGGGGGGTCATTGATATATTATAATGATGAATAAAGGTGGTTAATGCATTTGACCTTTTTAACAGTGATACAGATGCTTTCTTTTCTTTAACATTGTGAGATTTAGGAGTTTATCAACATTTCCATTTTCCCAGTGAATAATTCTTGAATCTCCTTTAATGCACGTGTAGAGGACTGATGAGTGTGTGAACACTGGTGCAGCGTGATTTCATGTTGGGCCTTGGTGGAGGTTTGAACTCTACTGAGTGCAAACTGTTTGGTGTTGTAACATTAATCTTCCCTGAACTCAAACGTTATATTTTCTGCCACAAGACAAAACTAAAAGAAAGTGAATTAAGCACAAAATGAAGATTTAAAAGTCAGTCCATGTTAAAATGTTTTATTAGACGAAGTCTGTCTGTGGAATCAGCTGCTTATTAAACATCTCAGGACTATGACAGATTCAATTATGCTTCAATGTAAAAACAGAAAGTTTCAGGATGTAACCGTCTGTAATTACATCCTATTTACTTTTGTCCCACATTCTATCAATCATCTCACCCCTGATACCCATCACATGACCTCCTGCCAGGGTCGCGACCCTGAGGTTGAGAAGCGCCGACAGATGACGGATATTTGAACTCGGAGAAGTTTCTGCCTCTCAGACGTTTGTCTCTCACCCAGTGTTAAACAGCGTAGTTCTGTTTCTTCACGGTGAACATTAGTTGTGTTTGACTCGTGACAGAAAAGTAGTGTCCACTTCGTATTGAGTGAACAGCTGAAGTTGTGTGACTTTCATGATGTGTAACTCGATCGGTCCCAGCGAGCACATGTGGTTTTCTCTCTGCTGGTTGTTATACCTCCGTCAGCTGTGACTCTGTTTGACAGTCAAGCTCCAACAAACCACTTTCAACAGGAAGAATCTTTGGTGCCAAGTCAGACGGCTGTTTTCTAACCAGGTGGTCGGGGCCACAACTTCTTTTCTAGAAGAATCTGATCTGATGGACGGAGGAAGGGAAAGTAGAAAACTATGTGTATCTGCCACACAGATGTTCATCTGCTGTTTTACCAAAATGTCTCAAGAAGTATTTAACCAACTGCTGTGACATTCAGACTAAAGATTCATGGTCCCCAGGGGAAGGAATCCTGGAACGGGGCCTTTATATTTAAAAACTTTATATTTACATCAGGAGGGGGGGGGGGTCCTCTCTGTGGAGGCAGCCATGTTTTTTATAGTATCCCAGACTGGACAAACTAAACCTTTTGAGTTTCTATGACAACTGAAGGTTCTCTGTCATGTTTGGAGGAGTATTCAGCTGCAACATGACACTTCACCACTAGATGTCACTAAATTCTACACACTGAAGCTTTTAATGATCATTTTTAGCGCCACCTGCACGTCGAAGTTTTTTTTTCACCCGGCTGCTGAAATATCTCAACATCTACCGGATAGATCAGGGTGACGTGTAATCCTGCTTGTTCTCCGCTAGCGCCACCATGTGGACAAATTATCAGTTTGTGCAACACTATCAGGATCGGCCTTCTTCAGAGCTAGTGGCCCCCCTGGCCCACAAACGAGGGTTCACCTGTCGGGGGGGTTCTAACATTGTGTAGTTTCTCTGTCAAAGTGTGATTGACAGTCTGGATTCACACTGAGGTGAAAACTGATCGGTTCTGTGGTTCAGAGGTTAGAAACAGACGAGAGCGACAGGATGGAGAGGCATGGGGGGGGGGGCAGAGCGTGCAGTGAGACAGGATGGAGAGGCATGGGGGGGGTCAGAGCGTGCAGTGAGACAGGATGGAGAGGCATGGGGGGGCAGAGCGTGCAGTGAGACAGGATGGAGAGGCATGGGGGGGGTCAGAGCGTGCAGTGAGACAGGATGGAGTCAGTGTGTGTCAGTTAGAGAGGAAGTGGAGGGTGTGAGCAGTAAGACAGGTCACAGGTGGTGGAGGTGGTGAGACACGTGAAGCGGCTGCTGTCTCTCCTGTAGGTGGTGAGACAGGTGGAGTCAGTGTGAGCAGTGAGACAGGTCGTGGTGGGGGTGAGACAGTGTGGAGTTTGAGTGACAGCTGGAGTCCAGACTCAGATGAAGACACAGCACTTGTTGTTAGCGGCTGAAGATCAGAACCAGATGTGGACTCTGCTACTGTTCCACTGAGAGAACGACTGTTTTCCTGACTGTCTACCTGCCCACCTGTCTCACCCTCTCACTTCCTGTGGGACACACACACTCACTGTTTGATTGTCTGTCTGCACGAGTCTGCTCAGCTGAGGTCCGTCACACAAACACGGTGACCGTGGTTGAGATCGAACAGACCTCAGATAAATGTCTAAATTAATATGCCACAATAAATTGTCTAGTTAGGAAATAAGGGATAATATACTATGAATTCTGGGTAAATTATCATTAACAAAACCACAAATTGTGAGCCTCTTTTCCCCTCATTGGCCAGCAGATGTCACTGTTTCTTACTGAGTATTTAATGTGGCTCTTAGTTTAGCTTGGTGAAGCTAATTGGTCATTTGAAGACGAGGAGGAAGATGCTGATATGAAAGAAATAATTACAACATAACTGATAAAAACACTTGCGTTAACGACCCAATTAGACTGGTTTTGTGTCTTCTTCTATGGTTTTTTGGCAGCATCTTCTTCTGTGGTTTATTACAGTAGCATCAACAACACTTTGCATTCACGGCGTCGCCCATGGTAGCAACACTGCCACCTACTGACGACACTGCAGCATATTCACCACAAAGCAGTTGATGGAAACTCACTTCACAGTTTATTCTTTTTCACAAAACTCTTGACAGTGAAACAGAAACACAGTCAGCGCCAGACAGAGCCACAGACACAACAGCACAGACCAGTCTAATGTCTGTCAAACCCTGTCTGTCTCTCTGTCTGTCTACCTGTCTCTCCGTCTACCTGTCTGTCTGGTCACTGGTCTCTTTCTCCTTGAACAGTAGCGTCTGAGCGTCACCTCCAGTCAACCAGTGTGAACCCACTGCATTTCTCTCTCTCTCTCTCTCTCTCTCTCTCTCTCTCTCTCTCTCTCTCTCTCTCTCCCTCCCTCCCTTCCTCCCTCTCACTCATCCAACACCACTTTTCTAGATTTTCTGACTTCATCCTTCGTTCTAGAACTTTAGGACTAAATCGCTGACAGGACAGATTTCATCAACTCTTGTTTTCTTAAATTAAATTGTTCTTTCATTGTCTCACTTCCTTTAAAAACAGAATTACACATTCATACTAAAGTCTGAAAAACAAACTCAGAAGCAAAGATAAAAAGCTTTTCCAAAAATCCAGATGTGACAGATGTGTTCGTCCAAATCTATTGATCAGTTTTTCATCATCTGTCATTTTAAAAGGTTCATTTATACCAAACTTAAAGCTTCAAACATCTTATATAGAATTGCCAATGATTTCTGTGTGGATTCCACCTGATTATTTCCTCCAATGACTAATTCATTCTTTTGTCTTAAACGTCAGAGAATAGTGAAAATGCTCATCACACCTTTCCCTGAGCCAGATGTGCAGATGCAGGTGTTTTATAGTTTAGTTAGTTTATGATCAGATCCGAGATCTAAGATTGATCAATTATCTGAGCTCCTCCAGTTCTAATGCTAAATAATTCTTCTTCTTCTATTCTTTAATTAAAGGTCGTTTAAATGACGCATTGTTCGTTTAATTACATATAAAACTTTTATTGTTACACGTTTGAAATCTCTTATCTCGTCCCGTCAGAGACACCGATGCTCCAGCCTGGATGTTCTCAGGCGGACACCGCGCTCCTGTTCCCCGCCTCTCTGGCCCCAGACCCGGTCACCCCGCTCACTCACCTGGGGCCGCTGCTGGCCGGACTAGACGCACCGAGGACCGGGGGCGGTTGGGACAGGTGAGACGATCCAACCTCCGGCTCTTAAAGTCCAGTTGTCCCGAGTCAGGAAGCTGAGTTCAGGGTTTAACTGAAACTTATCCCAAAGTTCTTCAGCCGCGTGAGGAATGAGCGCTGGGACGTGAAAACGCGTTCAGGGCGCGGGGGTGTCTCTGAGCTCTCCTCGGGTTGACTCTGGTGGAATGAGCCGGTGGAGGGATGGAGTGAAGGTATTAAAATACCAGGAGGAGAAAACTATTTGGGGAGGCAGAAACCCCTCCCCCATCCTCACCCTCTGAAATCCAAAGACGCGCAGAGGGTTTGGAGAGGTGCGGTGGAGCCGTGGCGCACGAGTCCATGTGGCACCAGGGAGGTCAGAATGTCCTTTTAGTGAAATAGAATGGAATAATTTCACAAATTAACCATGTTCTTTTACACCGCAGATAAAATTAATATATAAATAAATTTGTTTCTACCAGTAAAATCTCTACAAAAGCTTCACACACACACACACACACTGCAAAACATTCAAAGATCAAACTAAACATTTCAACTAATACACTTTTAAATGTTGAAGCCAAACCAGTCTCATAACTTCAGAACATTATCAACTCTTATTATCTTGTATCTTTTATTGCAGTGGTGGATCTCGTATTTATCTGAACCAGGGGCCATTGAGGGGCCAATTATATGTCAATTATTGATGCAGACTCAGTAAAGTGCACATCTAAGTCATTCCTTACTTACTGTTATTGCTGTAGATGTGAACAAAGACACACATCAGTGAATATATTTTGACAAAAGCAAATTGTGGACTTAAAAAAATAATTGTCATATTTATTGTAAGTACAAACTACTTCAGGGGCCAATCAGAGTTCAGCTGGGGCCAGTGCCTCCTCAATTAGAGTTTGAATCCTATTTTCAAACTGTGTGAGAGTCTGTCCCTGTTTGTTGGTAAAAGTCAAACAAATGTTCACTGAAATTCTCATGAAGCAGAATGTTTTAATGAACCCATCGACCCTGTTAAACTTCTGAGACGAGGACGTTGTCAGACGAGTCGTCCCTCTTCTTTCTAATTCAGAAATCTGTCCGTGTCTCTGTAACGATCATCTGATCAGCTTCACACTCAACGTGTTGTTCAGGCTCCAGTGAAGTGAAGTGTTGAACTTGGACACACGATATTTTCAGTATTAATAAGCTTTGAACACACAGGTGACCAGTGTCTGAGGCAGATCACAGCGGCTGATCCTCCAGTTCACAAGTCGTCGTCACTTGAGGAGAATCAGTCGCCGTTGTTGCGTCTTGTCTCCTGTTAAATCAAAGTTTAATATTGAAAAAATGAAACTCTGCACTTCAGTGGATCCTTAACACACGTGACCAGTGTGAAGCAGATCAGATGAACTGTTCTAGAGAAACGTCTTAAGAAACAACAAACTTCTATAACAAATCATTCTCTGACAGAGAGGTGGTGATGATGATGTCATGTCCTGCGTCCGTTTCGTCTGAGACGTGTTGCATCACGTGACTTTGTTCCGTCAGGTGAAAACCAAGTCTCAGGTTGACGAAGGTTTTTAAACGACTCGTCTCTCGTTACATTTTTATTGCGCTGACGCCTGCGGAGTCGTGTCCGCAGACGAACCTCACAATGATTGTAGTCATTCCAACTTTTCAACCTCCGGACAAGAGGACAAACTTTCTCCGGAGGTGAGAGCGAATTCCTCTCCTCCGTCCCTCCACCCCTGCCTCCACCCCTCACCCTCATTCTGTCTTCAGTCCATTCTGTGTCCTCGGTGTGAAATACCAGAGGCTCCGAGCTCCTGACACACTGACCTTTGACCTTTGGACATGGGAAGTTCTAATTTAGACTCCATGGTGGCACCCTGGTGACTGACCACAAACACACACACACAGCCAGTCAAGTGTGAACCCTGAACTGTGAACCGTGGAGAGAGGAGCACAGGGTCAGAGGTGCACTATAAGTAAAGATGGACGACATGTCTCCACCTCCTCCCAGTTTGACAATTTGTCCAGCGGCAGTAACCATATTTGGTGGATGGGTGGAGCCTGACTGAGAGCTCGAGGCCAATGCACGCCCACCTACACCTGCCACCTGCACCCATTGGACGGTACTAGCTGTCAGTCACATTGTATCAACCCCCCCGATACACACAGTGCTTTGTGATCTATTTGACTCTAAATGATCGACTCTTGAAGACGACTTGAAACTATTGATTGAGACTTTATTTTCTCTGATTATCGGATTATTTCTTTCAGGGCAGAAAAGTGTTGCATTGTGTTTTCACTCCTGTCCATTTGCTTTCATTTTTTTTGTGATTTTAGCTCAATTAAAAACTACTGAGTGATTTATAGAGAATAATTCATGGATGTGACTTATTTAGAGGACCGGGTTTATTCGTGTCTGTGATTTGGTGCAGCTTGATTTAATGTAAAAGACGGAGGAATGAGCTCAGAGGGACATTCTAGTGACTAATACAACTTTATTTTACCATGAAACCTTCTCGAGTCCTTTTTGTCGTCGTTACTTTTTGTCATCACCCGTCACAACTCTATCTTCCTGCCCTCCTCCCCGCTCCCCTCCGTGTCAACAGTCTTCATTATGAGGAGCATTCCAGGCTCCGGGCCCCGGGGTTGTAGCTCTGTGTCTGGCCCCTCATTACACCGTCGCTGCAGAGAGAGAACGCAGCTGATGTGACAGCTGCCATTGTTAGCGGAGCTACACGGGGCCGCTCGCTCCGTGACTGCTCCGGCTCGCTCAGTCGTTTACCTGCTGTTTAGCTGATCATGTGAGATCTAATCACACACATGAGTTTGATTCTAATCGTCTAAATACAAAGATTAATCGCTCAAACTGAGGAATTAATGAGCACGTTTTCCCACATTGAGGCCGAGAGACACACGCATGAGTAGAAATTATAATAATATTATGTCAGTTTAAAGCCACTGTTTAGTTTATTTGATGGAAGCACTTTGGTCCTGTTTGTCTGGTGCATGAACTATGTTTTAAAATGGGAGTGATTCTTTTTTTTAAAGGAATAAAATTAAAAACTATCATCTGGATCCTTTTAGAATTGAAAACAAACCCCTGTGGAATTTATCTGAATGTGATTAAAATAGAAAATGATTATTTGATCCATTAAATATCACAACAGCAGCGGGAGTCGTTTTTGTGTCTCAGGTGGTAACGAGGCAGTACTTTTTCTTTTTTAGGTCACTGTGACCTTTGACCTTTGTCCACTGACATCTGGTCAGTTCCTTCTTGAGTTGGTTCTCTGTGAGTCACTGCTGTCTTGTCCGATCAGGAGGCCGGACCCCGGGTTTCAGTCAGTGGGAACAACGAGGGAACCGGGAAGAGAAGCCCACTCTGACCAGAGCGTCGTCATCCTGCACGCCAAGGTGGCTCAGAAGTCCTACGGCAACGAGAAGAGGTGATGACATCTCAGTTTGATAAACACTCACTCAAAAAACACGTACAACTGTGGCTACGTTCACACGAATACGTTTTAGTTACAGAGTTGTTCCAGCTCCTGAAACTGAGAAGTTCAGGTTCACGAGAATACTTTGATTCTGCAGGTTCTTCTGTCCTCCGCCCTGTGTTTACATCCGTGGTCATGGATGGAAGGTCATGCAGGATCATCTAAAGGGTGAGGAAACTTCTTTATTTGTCTTCCCTCTGTTCCTCCATCTCATCCTCTTCATCGCTCTGTTGTCATTTCTTCATCCCTCCTCTCTCTCGTTCTCCTGCAGCGGCTGGTTATGGAGACTCTGTGTATCGCATGTGTGGTTACATGTGTCTGGACAACTCCAGTCAGTCTCAGGCCGACACTTTCAAACTGGTCTTCGATGAGCAGCCAGACTCCACGGTTAGATAACTGTGTGTGTGTGTGTGTGTGATTGATTGATGGGATCCTGAACTAAAGACCTGGAGCGACAGGCAGCTCGGTGTGTTTGTCCAGACGAGACAATCACGTCCTTAGCGACAGACGACTGTTGACTCAACAAACAGTCGTGTCTGACAGAAAAGCTGCTGCGCTCCTGTAAAC